CAGCATAGCATCAGCATCAGCATCAGCATCAGCATCTGCATCAGCATCAGCATCAGCATCTGCATCTGCATCTGCATCTGCATCAGCATCAGCATCAGCATCAGCATCAGCATCAGCATCAGCATCAGCATCTGCATCAGCATCAGCATCAGCATTAGCATCAGCATCAGCATCAGCATCAGCATAGCATCAGCATCAGCATCAGCATCAGCATCAGCATCAGCATCAGCATCAGCATCAGCATCTGCATCAGCATCAGCATCAGCATCAGCATCAGGATCAGCATCAGCATCAGCATCAGCATCAGCATCAGCATCAGCATCAGCATCAGCATCAGCATCAGCATCAGCATCAGGATCAGCATCAGCATCAGCATCAGCATAGCATCAGCATCAGCATCAGCATCAGCATCTGCATCAGCATCAGCATCAGCATCAGCATCAGCATCAGCATCAGCATCTGCATCTGCATCTGCATCTGCATCAGCATCAGCATCAGCTCAGCATCTGCATCTGCATCAGCATCAGCATCCGCATCAGCATCAGCATCAGCATCAGCATAGCATCAGCATCAGCATCAGCATCAGCGTCAGCATCAGCATCAGCATAGCATCAGCATCAGCATCAGCATCAGCATCAGCATAGCATCAGCATCAGCATCAGCATAGCATCAGCATCAGCATCAGCATCAGCATCAGCATCAGCATCAGCATCTGCATCAGCATCAGCATCAGCATCAGCAGCAGCATCAGCATCAGCATCAGCATCAGCATCAGCATCAGCACCAGCATCAGCATCAGCATCAGCATCAGGATCAGCATCAGCATCAGCGCATCAGCATCAGCATCAGCATCAGCATCAGCATCAGCATAAACATCGCATCAGCATCAGCATCAGCATCAGCATCAGCGCATCAGCATCAGCATCAGCATCAGCATCAGGATCAGCATCAGCATCAGCATCAGCATCAGCATCAGCATCAGCATCAGGATCAGCATCAGCATCAGCATCAGCATCAGGATCAGCATCAGCATCAGCATCAGCATCAGCATCAGCATCAGCATCAGCGCATCAGCGCATCAGCATCAGCATCAGCATCAGCATCAGGATCAGCATCAGCATCAGCATCAGCATCAGCATCAGCGTCGCATCAGCATCAGCATCAGCATAGCATCAGCATCAGCATCAGCATCAGGATCAGGATCAGTTCAGCATCAGCATCAGCATCAGCATCGCATCAGCATCGCATCAGCATAGCATCAGCATCAGCATCAGCATCAGGATCAGCATCAGCATCAGCATCAACATCAGCATCAGCATCAGCATCAGCATAAGCATCTGCATCTGCATCTGCGTCAGCATCAGCATCAGCAGCAGCATCAGCATCAGCATCAGCATTAGCATCAGCATCAGCATCAGCGCATCAGCATCAGCATCAGCATCAGCATCAGCATCAGCATCAGCATCAGCACCAGCATCAGCATCAGCATCAGCATCAGGATCAGCATCAGCATCAGCATCAGCGCATCAGCATCAGCATCAGCATCAGCATCAGCATCAGTATCAGCATCAGCATCAGCATCAGCATCAGGATCAGCATCAGCATCAGCATCAGCATCAGCATCAGCATCAGGATCAGCATCAGCATCAGCATCAACATCAGCATCAGCATCAGCATCAGCATCAGCATCAGGATCAGCATCAGCATCAGCATCAGCATCAGCATCAGCATCAGCATCAGCATCTGCATCTGCATCAGCATCAGCATCAGCATCAGCATCAGCATCAGCATCAGCATCAGCATCAGCATCAGCATCAGCATCAGCATCAGCATCTGCATCTGCATCAGCATCAGCATCAGCATCAGCATCAGCATCTGCATCAGCATCAGCATCAGCATCAGCATCAGCATCGCATCAGCATCGCATCAGCATCGCATCAGCATAGCATCAGCATCAGCATCAGCATCAGGATCAGCATCAGCATCAGCATCAACATCGCATCAGCATCAGCATCAGCATCAGCATCTGCATCTGCATCTGCGTCAGCATCAGCAGCAGCATCAGCATCAGCATCAGCATCAGCATCTGCATCTGCATCTGCGTCAGCATCAGCAGCAGCATCAGCATCAGCATCAGCATCAGCGCATCAGCATCAGCGCATCAGCATCAGCATCAGCATCAGCATCTGCATCAGCATCAGCATCAGCATCAGCATCAGGATCAGCATCAGCATCAGCATCAGCGCATCAGCATCAGCATCAGCATCAGCATCAGCATCAGCATCTGCGTCAGCATCTGCATCTGCATCAGGATCAGGATCAGGATCAGCATCAGCATCAGCATCAGCATCAGCATCAGCATCAGCATCAGCATCAGGATCAGCATCAGCATCAGCATCAGCATCAACATCAGCATCAGCATCAGCATCAGCATCAGCATCAGGATCAGCATCAGCATCAGCATCAGCATCAGCATCAGCATCAGCATCTGCCTCTGCATCAGCACCAGCATCAGCATCAGCATCAGCATCAGCATCAGCATCAGCATCTGCATCAGCATCAGCAGCAGCATCAGCATCAGCATCAGCATCAGCATCAGCATCAGCATCAGCATCAGCATCTGCATCAGCATCAGCAGCAGCATCAGCATCAGCAGCATCAGCATCAGCATCAGCATCAGCATCAGGATCAGCATCACATACTCTCGTTGGTGTGTTTCCCCTGTGAGCATGTGGAGCAGGTTGTGGAAGTGATGGGCTTGGGCTACTCATGCCGCTACTGAGTTACCGCACTCCAACTGGCTGTTGTCTATGAGGTGCCTTAACAACACACTCTACCTACGTATCTCCATTTGCACAGGTGTCAGAGGAGCACGTGGAGCAGGTGCTGGAGGTGATGGGGTTGCCGCATCACCACGGACATTGCAGCACGCTCCAGGTGCCGCTAGTCACGCTCACCACGGACATTGCAGCAGCAGACGCCGTGCTGGCACTTCGCTCCAAGCTGGCTGCCTTCGCTCCAAGCTGGCTGCCTTCACTCCAAGCTGGCTGCCTTCGCTCCAAGCTAGCTGCCTTCGCTCCAAGCTGGCTGCCTTCGCTCCAAGCTGGCTGCCTTCGCTCCAAGCTGGCTGCCTTCGCTCCAAGCTGGCTGCCTTCGCTCCAAGCTGGCTGCCTTCGCTCCAAGCTTGCTGCCTTCGCTCCAAGCTGAAGGGCAACGCGTGGCTGCGCGGGGTGGCTAAGTTCCCCACCTCCCCATCTACGCCGTCAAGGTGGGCTTTAGTGAGGGGTGAGGCAGGGTCGAGATTGGGGAAAGCAGGGTCGTGAGGTGCTCCAAGCTCAAGGTTTGGGAGGGTGACGCTGTTAAGGTGGGCTTGAGCGAGGGGTGAGGCAGGTTTGGGAAGTGTCAGAAGTGTCAAGTGTCACAAGTGTCAAGTGTCACAAGTGTCAAGTGTCACATGTATGCCATCGTGTTGCCACCCACCCATCGTGTCGATATCGTGTCGATACACCATGCATCCTTCACTGTACTCATTGCCAGCACTTCATGTCCCTGAATATCATGTTTTCAACGCTGTCATGTTTTCAGCACGTGTTCTCACAATGCTGTCACTCGCCTCACTCTCCTCACTTTCTCACCGCCTTTCCCCTCCACGCTGTGTGTTCCTCCCCAGGCCAACACGGCGTCTCAGGTAGTGCGGGCCCTCCGTGCCATCCTCAACCTCCCCACCCTCGCCTCTCCTCCTCCTCCTCCTTCACCTCCTCCTCTGCCTCCTCCTTCACCTCCTCCTCTGCCTCCTCCTTCACCTCCTCCTCCCTCCTCCTCCTCCTTCACCTCCTCCTCTGCCTCCTCCTTCACCTCCTCCGCGCCTCGCTCTTCCCCCCCTGCATCACTTTCTGGCACCGCACCGCAATCCTTCCCCCACTCCACACCCCAGCTGGTGCACCGCAATCCAGCCACACCAGCAACACCAGCCACACCAGCCACACCAGCAACACCAGCCACACCAGCCACACCAGCCACACCAGCCACACCAGCCACACCAGCCACACCAGCCACACCAGCCACACCAGCCACACCAGCCACACCAACTCTCGACCTTGCAGGATGAAAGTGGCACTACAGCAGCAGTGGCAGCAGAGTGGCGAAAACAGCTGTGGCAGTCACAGCAGCAGCAGCAGCAGCAGCAGCAGCAGCAGCAGTGGCAGCAGTGGCTGTTGGGTTGGGTTGGGCAGTTGGGGCTGGAGAGGAGGAGGAGATTGATGCACTCGAGGTGAGGGCCTTGGGGTGGTGGTGGAGGAGGTGAGGGCCTTGGGGTGGTGGTGGAGGAGGTGAGGGCCTTGGGGTGGTGGTGGAGGAGGTGAGGGCCTTGGGGTGGTGGTGGAGGAGGTGAGGGCCTTGGGGTGGTGGTGGAGGAGGTGAGGGCCTTGGGGTGGTGGTGGAGGAGGTGAGGGCCTTGGGGTGGTGGTGGAGGAGGTGAGGGCCTTGGGGTGGTGGTGGAGGAGGTGAGGGCCTTGGGGTGGTGGTGGAGGAGGTGAGGGCCTTGGGGTGGTGGTGGAGGAGGTGAGGGCCTTGGGGTGGTGGTGGAGGAGGTGAGGGCCTTGGGGTGGTGGTGGAGGAGGTGAGGGCCTTGGGGTGGTGGTGGAGGAGGTGAGGGCCTTGGGGTGGTGGTGGAGGAGGTGAGGGCCTTGGGGTGGTGGTGGAGGAGGTGATGCTGCTGCTGACTGCAGTGATGTAAATCAGAATCCAAGCAGTGGACCTTCTACCTCGCACCCCTCACATCCTCTTCCGGCAGCTGCAGCTGATCAACAATTACTCCCTCTCCTATCCTGCCCGCCTTGTTCTATCTGCCCACACCCCCTCAGGAGGCACGCATGGCAGCACAAGCAGTGGACTTGCTACCTCGCACGCCCCCCATCCACGCACCCCCCCCATCCACGCACCCCCCCCATCCACGCACCCCCCCCATCCACGCACCCCCCCCATCCACGCACCCCCCGCATCCTCTCCCTGCAGCTTCAGCTCATCAATGACTATCCCCTCTCCTGGCAGTACGCTGGCTCTTCCCCCACTCGCCGCATCCGCATCCCCCCCCTCCCTACCTCGGGTCGCTCAGAGCTTGCTCTAGCGGCTGGCCTAAAGCCTGCTTCAGCTGTCATTGGTCGATCTGATTGGCCTGTTGACATAGGTTGTGGTGACCCCAGTGGATTGAGTGGTGGAGAAAATATGGGATGGCAGGAAAAGGAAGATGAAGAGATGGTGGAGGGGGGAGGAGTGTGTTGGAAACAGTAAATCCTAAAGCGCCTCTGTCGTGTCGAAACATCACACCAGAAGCGAGGCGAACCATATCGAGGCACACGCGAGTCAACCCTCGGAGGTTGAAAGAGGTTGCTGGAGGTTACGCGAAAGTCAAAGGTCAGCGACCTTTGACCTGACAAGTACAGCGCGACAGCAAGGACACACAACTGACTCGCTACAGAGCAGTTGCCCGAGTCGTCACTGTATCGAACCGCAACAGCAACAGTAAAGTAGTTACAACTGCATCCTTTCATATTCCTGTACTCATATATAAATGCGTGTATCTCCCTTTGCTTTAATCAACTTACTTTGCCCTCACATACCAGCGCAAGGTGGTTCACAACTTCTTCATTAAACGCTTCCGCTATTACAATTGTTCTACCCCGAATTTACCCCTGCAAAAGATCCTAAGGGCTTTTTCAGCCCAACATGGTATGAGAGCTATCAGGGGAAATTCAACTACTGTCAAATCATCAACAGACGACATGGCAACATACAAGGAGAGGAGTTCCTCTAATGGTTCTCCCGGGACTACTCCTACCCCACCTCCTGCCTCTGGCCTGCAGACAGAGGAAGGAACTGCAACGGGACCAGCAGCGCCTTCAGCCAGCCAGCCTGCCAGCTTCGACCAGAGTATGATGGAGAAATTTTTCTCCTTCATGTCGTTCTACGAGCAACACCAGCAGTCGGCACCTGCGCAGTCAAACAACAGCAACAACAACAACGTGACTCCAATGAGTCTTGATGGCTCATCATATGCGCGCGGAAATCAGCAACAACCTACCTTTGCTCCGTATGAACGCGGGTCCATCAGCTTCATGCCGCACCCGCAAGCTCCATCTGGACAAGAAAAACAACTGGATGCACTACAAGTTCAGTCGCAATTCGCGCACGTCTTAAAGCTGCAGACGTCAAGGCCCTTCGACGGAAAAGACTTCTCCGAGCCCACGGAAGAATCTCCGAAGCAGCGCTCTGCGCCGAAATACACGCTGAGCAGCAAGACATGGACCTGCAAGAAGAACGACACAAGAGAAAGACATCAGTACCGGAATTCGCGTTCCACACTCAGCGACGCTACAACAACAACAACAACCGACAACAACCAAAACCCGTACCTCCGTTCTGCCATATCTGCAAGACGTCAGGGCACCCGCGCACACACTGCCCGAATCGACAACAGTCAACGCCACAACAGCGACAGCTTCGACCTTCAAGCAGCCAAGTTGCTTCAACGCAAGCGAATCCTACGACCCAGGTTCAAGCTTCAACAACATCAACGGGACAACCTGCACAAGGCGCAAGAAACATCGTCAGTTGTATGGCAAAACTGACCGACTCCTGCATCACCGAATCACCACCTCATTACTCACCGGAAGAACAGCTTGACAACAGCACGCCCCGCCGCGAGTCACTGCAGCCGAACCCGACATACGCCGCTATCGCCCAGAGTGAGCCATCCGGGAAGGACACATGGTTCTTGGACAGTTGCTGCGGACAACACATGTGCTCCTCAGGACGCTTCGTACAACGAGAGTATCAACTTCAACGAGAAGTAGTCATCACCGTCGCCAACAACCAGAACCCGCGCATACGACGACAAGGCGTGGTACAACTTCAGTCACGAGAAACAAGTGTCATTCTACAAATGACCAAGGTTTTAATCGCAGAAGGCCTCGGCTATAACTTACTGAGCGTCAGCCAGTTGATGGCGAAAGGCATCCATCTCGAAGCAGACAGCACCACTCAGGAGTTCAAGCTGTACCACGGGAAGGGCGGCCTCTACATCGGAAAGGCGATCCTCAAGAACAACGTCTTCGTTCTTGATTTCGTACCAGACCTTGGCACCGCTGACAGCGACGGCATCGTCAGTTTTGCTCCTTGGACACATCCTCCAGATCTTGACCCAGACTTCAGTCCCGGCGGCTTCTGGCACTCACACACCATTCCTGAAACAGAGAGAACAAGGGCGTTAGCAACAATTCAACAAACATCGGCAGCAGCAGAGACAACATCGGCAGCAGCAGAGACAACATCGGCAGCAGCAGAGACAACAACGACAGCAGCAGCGGCAACATCGACACCAATCGCCGGTCCCTCCACGACACCAATCTTCATCGACGGTTCGCCTCCGACACCCGCACAGCAGTTAACCCCGGCACCACGAGAAGTCCACCGAAGCACAAACGTCACCGCCGGCTTCTACTCCAACTCTGATCTGTATCGGAGATCACCCGGACATCGCGCCACTGAAGGTACCTGGCACGCAAGAATGGGACATCCAAGCAACACAGTGTTAAACAACACGATAAGAGCAGGAGTGCTCGACAAAGACTCACTTCTACTGACCGACGGCAGAGAACTTCAACGAGCACGTGGAACGTGCTTCACTTGCCCTGAAGCTGACTTACCGCATCAGCCGTTCGTCTCGCATCACAATCCAAGCGCACCTGCGTACACACCTCGACAAAACGCCTACAGTTACACCATCACCTTCATCGACGCCGCAACTCGATATGTCTGGCACCTAAACCTTCCAAGTCGCGACATGGCTTTCGAAGCCTTTGTCGCCTGGCTTCCAGTCGCAGAACGAGAATCGGGAGCTAAGCTAAAAAGCTTTCAGTCAGACGGGGGAGGAGAATACACCTCACAGAGGTTCAAGCAGTACTTGGCAGAAAGAGGAATCAAGAGGCTCATCTCCCTTCCCTACGCTCACCAACAGCAAGGCGTAGCAGAAAGGATGAACAGGACGCTGCAAGCCACCATGCGCAAGCTGCTACGTGGCATGCACCTGCCCAACCACCAGTGGCCCGAAGCAATGGACCACGCCGTGATGCTGCACAACTTGCTTTCGTCATCATCGCTCCCGAACAACGCATCACCGCATCTGCTGTGGACAGGGAAATTGGGCAGCACAAAAATGTTACGAGTCTTCGGCTGCATGGTACAGTACCGACCTCCATCTGCACGAGCTGGGCGATTCTCTCAACGCGCACAGTGGGGACTACACCTGGGCATCGCAAAACATTACAACGCGTGGAAAATCTTCGACATCAACAGCAAGGAAACAGTAGCAGCACGTGATGTCATTTTCTACGAACACCTCACCCTCGGAACTCACCTCATGTACATCGAAGAAAACAGACCTGACCTCTCGGGCGGATTTCATGGGCACCGAGCCTTTGCCTCGGCAGAAGACGAAGCTGACCTGGACGAGCAGAACGTGGAGGGAGCCTCGGAGGAAGCCGGACCTCTCCCTTACTGCTCCGTGGACATCCCAATGGACGACGAAAATCCTCGCGAAAGCATCAACGCCGAAGTCTTCTACGAATTCGCCGACAACGGTTACGTTACACCTGCACGGGTCAACACCAACGAAGCAGAACGAGTAGGTATTAATCAGAATCACTAGGCAAGAATGATTGAAAGGAGAGAGGGGTTTCACTAGCAGCAGTTGGGGTACATATAGCAAACCCTAACTGGGTTGTACTCGCTATAGAGCACCCCACTACAGGCTAGACAATAATAACATTCTGACACACCCCCATAGCCAAAGTGGGGTGTAATCAGTACAATGAGCAGGCATAGCAATAGTTCACAATTATAAGCAAAGCTAGAGGTGATCATAGAGGGCAAGTGAGGAGGAGGAGAAACTGTGAGGGCGAGAAGATGAAAGGCGCCGACTGAAGCTGCAGACACACGGGCAACAGGAGCGGCGCGCACAGTGGCTACCGAGCGCACGAGGGCACCGGACTACGGGAGTATCTGGCTCCGCGGCTACGACGAGCACACACAGGAGCAACGGACCCACAGGCGACTGGCGAAGCAGGCTCGCTGGGCTACCGAAACGCGCGAGGGCATCCGGACTACTGGCGCTGCTGGCGTCACGACGGCTACCTCCACGCAACCTCCCCCGACTGTCCCACGCCCCTCTCGACACACACCCGCTGCTACACCGCTAGCTCCACTCCCCCTTCACCCCCCCCTTAGTACCACTCCGACGGCTCCAACAGGTCCACCCCCCTCAGCGGCAGCTGCAGCACAGGGAGACGGAGGAGGAGGAGGAGCAGGGAACGGCACACAGAAGCTGCACCCCCATACCCCCCAACCCCAAACCCTAATCCAGGAGAACGGGCAGAAGGAGGGGTGGGGCGCCTTCAGAAGCACGGGGGACAGCGGGGAGGACAGGGGCAGCGAAGAACGGGCCGCCCACGGGCCTGGCACCGCCTCCCGAACCGCGCGCAGGCGGTCCGAGCCGCTAGCGGGCCTGGCGCAGCCCGTACGGGCCGCGCGCGTGCCTGGCGCAGCCCGTACGGGCCGCGCGCGGGCCTGGCGCAGCCCGTACGGGCCGCGCGCGGGCCTGGCGCAGCCCGTACGGGCCGCGCGCGGGCCTGGCGCAGCCCGTACGGGCCGCGTGCCGGGTGTACGGGCCGCGCGCAGGCCACGACGGGCGACGGGGGGCGACGCGCGGGTCCCCGTCGCCCGTCGCAGCGCCTCCCGGGGGCGACGTGCCGAGTGACGGGGCAGGAACCCGCCGCGCGCCTCGGGGCACACGGCGGGCAGAGAACCGCCGCGCGCCTCGGGGCGCACGGCGGGCAGAAAACCGCCGCGTGCCTCGGGGCGCACGGCGGGCTGAAAACCCTAGTTTCGACGCCGCGCGCCACGGGGCGCGCGGCGGACAGGGAGTAGCAGTAGCAGTAGCAGTAGC